TATAATTTTAAAAAACCCAAAAAATTAAAAAAAAAAAAAACTAACCAACTGCAGCCAAGAACTTCTTCTGCACGGTACCGGTAACCATCTCCAACACAGAATTAATGTAAATAATGAGATGTTTCGGTTCCAAAGCATCCGTGACAACAAACCTAAAAGACGCCCGCTACAGAAGTTTGTCCACCGAAAAGGCAACGTCCCACCTTCACCTCCACTGCTTTTCCTCAACAAAAATCCAAAAAAAAAAACATAGAACTAATTTAATTTAGAAAAAATATGATTTTTAATATAAAAGAGAAGACAATTTTTTGAAATTTGAAGGAGAAAATGTTTTTCAATATTAATTTGAGGAAGAATGGATTTAGAATTTGAAGGAGGAGACATTTTTCAATTTTTAATTTGGGAAAGAATGACTTTTGAAGTGAAAGAGAGCCTCCAATTCCGTTCCTTCTTTCTTTAATTTTGTTTTACATGTGAGGGATAAAGTGGTATTTTCATACTTTTAAATAATTAATTTTTTTTTTCTTTTAGAGAATTTAGTCAAAGGCCAAAAAAAAAAAAAAAAAAAAAAAACACTGGGGGCGGTCATTTCACCTCATTCTCCAATTTTTAACTTCCTTACGTTTTGGTATAAAATATAAATAGGAAATCTCAGAACAAATCTCCAATTCTCGAACCAAGCTCGCGTCTTCTCTTATCTTCACACACTAGGGTTTTCTCGATCTCTTCGAATCAGGTAAAATTTGCTTTGAATCTTTGCTTTGAGATTTTCTTTATTCACAGGGTACCTCTCTCTCTCTCTCTATATGAATTTTCTGTTTGATTCGTGTATGGTAGAGATGATTGTTAATTGAGTTTATGTAAAGAATTGAATTTTTGGAGATGGTTTTCTGTTTGGCATCAGGGTTGCTATTACAGGGATCAAATCTTGTTAGTTTGATATTGAATGCAATCACTGGGAGTGGGTGTCTGGTTTTTAAGGATATGTTATCATGTTGGCGTCTCATAATTTCATTTAACAAATTGAAGGAATAGAGACTCGGGGTTTTCCACCTTCCAAATTGTCAATTGCTGAGAAGTTGTCGAAAAGTAAAACATTAGGACTATGTTGGCTATGAAGTAATTCTGTTAATCTGACTTTCATCCATGAAGATTAGAGCTATTGATGCCACTAGGGAGTAGGGATAATTATATGAATTTTTCAGAGAAGACTTGTATCAGAAACAGAAAGAAAGCATGATGTAGAGGTTTTGATTTGTTGATATTCTAACTCAATAATTATATAGCTGGAATTCGAGAGTCGAGAAATTCATAGTTCTAAAGCTGTCATAATGCAAAGGCAAAAACAGAAGCAAGTAGATTATAGAGCTAACTAGAAAAATGCAAAAGTTTTTTTACCTGTATAATTAAGAGCACACCATCTCCCCATGGAAGTCGGCAATTTCTTTCCGATTTTTTTGTCGAACGTTACTAAAATACTATTAATTTTTTTGGTATTTTGATTATTTGTTAATACATTTATTGTGACTTGATTTTTTTTTGAAATAAATTTAATTGACATAAAAAATATGATTTATTGCTTTGCATTTTTAATTATGAGTTGTGGATGATTTGGACATACAA